CAGAGACCACGTTATTACAGATCGATGGAGGTTCTGGGTCTGAAATGTGAAAAGGATGCAGAAATGCCTTAAACCTCTTTTTAAAGTGTTTTATTGGAAAAACAGACTTTAAAAGTTTGGCACCTTTGATGTACGACCTTAGCAAACGCTGTCTTAGTTGGGTATATGACCTCAAGTACTAGTGTTAAGTTTATGAGTATGTAATGATAGCATGTTCATTTTGTACATGTCACCTCTACTGTCAGATCCACCTGTTCTTAGCCCATCACATCTGGTCTTAGTACACCAAGATGACCACAACCACCAGCTCAAGGCTTCACTTTGAGACTTATCCTACGAGTGATGTCAGGGTGGCTATGTCCATCTTTCAGAGCTTAAGTGTGAGCTGCTTAAGCTGCCTCCAAAAAACAGTGATATTCATGATGTCAGACATTGAATGAAAGCCATAATTAGCCATCTTTTCTCTGTGCCCTGTAGTTGCATATTATTAAAACTGGAAATTGAGCAACAGGGCTTTCTCTGTGGGTCTCCTGTGGTGCTGGAAGATATAAGATGGAGAAATACATCAATTATCATCCGCACTTTCTGCATTTCTTAGCTGTGCTCACAGTTACTCCCATTTCAACCTGCTTGTTGGAATACCCTCAGGCTAAAGATCCAGTTAAATGTCAAGGAAAGAAATAGCTGCAATTATCTGTTCACAGACTTTGTTTCAGATCTTTGTTTCCGAAGGGTTTTCATAGTATACAAGGGCTCGTTTTCACAGGAAGATGTTCGGCTGTCAGCTACTCTGGATAAACTGCGGAAATGGTTCTGTCACTGTGTGCTGTTTGGATGTTCTAGATAATTTACGTTGTAAGAAACTTTGAATACGTTTTTGTGGATATGTGGACTTATGGGGACCTCAGACCAGCTTTCAGTCACTGAGGTGTCTGTTAAAGGGGATGCTAATGAATAAATGGAAGCACATAGCAGCCTTTTGACATACAAATGTTCTGGAAAAATACAGTGCACAGCAAGATTCACTATATAAGCATAGTGAAAGTTGTTTAGCAGTGACCACGCTTGTGGTGAATGTTAAAAAGAGTCTAAACAGCTGTGAGAAAACCGTTAACCATCAGCAGTGTTCACACTTTCTGTAGACGAACTGCTCTTGATTTGAAAATTAGATAAATAAGTAACACAAGTTATTTATGTGAATTAAACACAACCTTAAAGTACACAGGATAATGGCAGCAAACTTGAAAAAAAATGCTAATATATTTGTGTACGAATAATAATTTCTAAAAAATTAGCATCTGTCCAGAGAAAAATGTGTTCCCAGAACAAGCTCTTTGTATCAAGTGCATATAGTTCCCAAAAAGTGGGAATTCCAGGCATAAACAGGGAACTTTCTCTACCTGCACCAGTGAGAGTACGCAAAGATGTGAAGTTATGGTTGTGTTAAGAATTATGAATAATGCTCGCACTTTTTAGCCTGTTTCTCAAGCCAGAAGCTCAAAGCTGGGAGTTTAATACTGAGGTAACTGAGTTAATTTTGTTGGTATATTCAGCACACCGAATGAATTTTAGTACTAACAAAAAAGTCTTTCTTATGCTTTTGCAGCCAAATGCTTTTTCTTTCCTTTTTGTGTTGACCCGCTGAGGGCGTATTTTTATTAAGCGTATTATTATGTTTTCTCAGATATTCTTTTAAGCCATTCAAATACTGACAATAGGACTGCGTCCATCACAGTTAAGCTTTCAGGAACAGCGCAAACCCATCAACTCTCTTCCACAAGGTCTATCTGAATCATCATTAAAGGCCACGTCACTGTTTGAAAACTGGTTTTATTGGAGATATCAAACCACCAGTGCTCAAACATTAGGGATACAATTTAGATGGTGCCAAGATCTTTGTTGGAGATAATGAGAGAGATTTGTGACCTGTCAAGGGAAAGGAGCTGGTAGCTGTGTGCAAAGGCTAATGCGTTGCCATAAATAAGTATGCCAATGAGACGCTGTAAAGTGGATTAAGCTTCACACAGCCATATGTAAGGAGCATGTGATGGCTGAGAAACTGCACAGATTCTATCATCTTATTGTTGCTAATGCAGCTGTTGTGGTTCAGACGTGACAATACAGTTGGTGAAAAAGTTTGAGAATGTCTGTATTTCTGCAAAAATATGACCTAAAACCTCATTAGACTTTCACACCAGTCCTAGGAGGAGAAAACTGCAAGCTAATTAAGCATGTGAAACTAAAATATTGCATGTGGTTAGAAGATTATCTTATATTTCACCGTTTGAAAGTGGACAGGAAGAGTGGGAGAGAAAGTAGGGCCTGCAATCATCTCGCATGATATGGGTTACATGCTCAGCCCTGTTAGTTGTATTAGTTCCCCACCTCTAATATTTATGAGGTTATTGTGTAAGGAAAGCGGTCATGCTGAGAAAGCTGGGCTAGGACACCCGATATGTTGGGTGTGCTCAAAGCACAGTTTAAGTCGTTTGTATTCTTCACTCATTTTCCAACATGTATAATGTGTTAGAATCAATACGTACTTGAACTTCTATACTTGAACACATTATGTCAGCAAAAGTAGTGACAGTGAGCAGGTACTAGAAGCTAGCTCATCTAATGCAGAGTAGTTGTTGTTGTTGTTGATGTGCGATTAATTACACCTGTTTTTCCCATCAGCTGTCAGAATATCTACCGTAAAAAAAAAAGACCTGTACAACGTCAAAGCAGCTTTAATGTGTCTTGAATAAGGACGTCATCATGCCCCAGTTTTGTCAGCTGAGTCTCCATCATCCACTTTGATCAACGCACACACACAATTAGACCGTACTGTATCGGGGCAGTGCTTCTCTGAACTTGCAAAAGCGAAGTTGGTGGAAACTTAAATGTGCTTCTGTAGGTCAGATGTGAAGTGCTGAGATGACAGGTCTTCGGTCCATTAGTGGCCTTGTCTTCTTCCATCTTGTCATGAACCACTGTCACTTACCAGATTTAGGTCGTTGCTTGTGCACGGCTGCTCTCCACACAACAAGCTGCTTAAACAGAACCTTGACCAACTAGTTTTTATTGGGGATACAATGTATTAAATTCATATTTTTTGTAAGCATATTATCACACTAGTCAGTGATTGTGTTGTAGATGAAATCAATTAACAAAGTGAAGGAGATGGAGTCATAGTGTGATATTTATCATTTATATATTTTGTAATGAATTAAATGCTATTTTTAAACAATCGTGCGGTTTTAGTTAAAGTTTACCTTTATAACTTTAACCCTGTCTAGACCTGCCTATTACTGTTGCTGAGATATTCACCATGAAACATTCTGGAGAGCTTCAGCTGCTGGTTTGCTCTTAATGGCTGTCAAAAGTGCCACATTTTCTTATGTTTGTTATGTAGTCTAGACTGCACGGTAGCATCCATGCTGACAAAAGTTCAGTGGTGTAAAGCAAATGTTGCCTCAAAGTAAAAAAATTCTGTCATCATCTGCTCCCTCCTTTGTCTGTCAAACCACCTTTGAGGCCGACATGAACAAAATGTAGAAAGATTTCCTGTAGCTGTAAATCAGTCTGCTAATCACAGACCTAGAGTTAGGAAGCTGAGTTATGTAAATACAAAGTTTACATTAAAGATAACCATCAATGTATAGTACTCTGCAAAATGTTTTCGTTTCTTTATATCTGCTCTGAAGGAGTCTGTGGTGGTCATGAACAGTAGTTCTCCTGATTTTCTGAAGGTCTTTCAAAGTTAAGCCACTTAACACTGACCTATAAATCATTTAAGCATAAAAATAGCACCTAACTCAAAGGATAATTCAGTGTTGTCTAGACGTGACAGACAAACAGTTTTAAATGATATCTTTAGTCTTTTGTTACTAGCAGCATCTTGCAAAAATACAATTTGTTTCCATTTCTACAGTCATCGCAACAGAACAGAACACAAGGCAGCCAACATCCAAAGTAGCTTTGAATGTCCTCCAAGAAGTCTGGAGAACTCTTCCTGAAGACTAGTTAAAGAAATAAATGTGTTCAAATTATTCAAACTCTGTTTTTGCATGATAAGCTGTTACTTCTGTGTATGTTTTTCCACGTTTCAATGACAAACTGAACCCATTTCCAGTTTTCTTAGGAAAATATGAAGAATACTTGAAAATGTGAGGTGGCTCAAGACTTTTGCACAACATTGCAGCGTGGATGTTTCTACTCGGGGTTTCTCCATTTTTAAGGTTGCCTCAGTGTTCATTATCATTTTAACGTACTCCATCACAGCTTTTATACATAAAAGCGTGATTTCCATTATGGACACATTCAGTATTCTGTGGGTTTGAAAGGGACGCGGTTCATTATTGAACCACAGTTTGGGCGTTTGTTGATTTGCTTGGCAGTGGGGGGGCTATGCTGAAGTTCATTTGGTGGATTTTTAAATCAGTTTCTGTTTTCATATACTTGAATCAAAGCTGTATTTTTTGTGGCAGGCCACTTTAAAATTGAATTTTCAAAAGCTGTTCTGCTCTCTCTTTTGTCTCTGTGCAGTCGTTTTCTGCTGTGAAAATGGAAGCCGACTCCCCCTCTTTCTTGTAATAGGCTCATCTTTTCTTTTCTTTCTGCTCCCTCTATCTCTCGTGAGTCTGAATAAAGCAGCTAATGGCGCATAGAAATGGTGACTGTACAGCTACGTCTATAGACTCTTTCTGTTATGTGCTGCAATATGTAAGTGAAAATACACATTTACAAGGGTTATTGTGAAGCACCGTCAGAGCCTGATGACCAATATGTGAACTGCAGAATGGCTGTTGCATAACAGCGGGTCGTTGGTGTGTTTGACATTTTCAAGAATATCGAAATTAGGTTACATATTATAGTGTTGTAACTGAAATTAGATTTAATTATAGATGGAGGTCCTAAGCTGTATATCGAACTTTTGAAAATCAGGACATGCTAGTCTAACTTATCTTTGTGTTGATACTGATGACAACCATGGTGATGTGTCTGCATGTCTTCAGGTGTATATCCGCATCCTGGACAATGAGTGGAATGTGTACAGGCGTTACACTGAATTCAGGGAGCTCCACAATCATCTGAGATCACAGTTTCCTCAGGTGGACACCTTCAACTTCCCACCCAAGAAAGCCATAGGGAACAAGGTGAGCTGATAGTAAATATAATGTGTGTCTTTGTCTCACTGTCAGCCACCTCAACCCTCGCTCTGTCTCTCACTTACCCACTTCAGCAATGATGAATTGTGTGTCCCTGCTAAGCTGTTTGGTAGCTGAAATGTCCAGTTTCACTTTGTTAATCGTTGCTAAGTTGCCTCTGATAAAACTGTTGTTCACATCTGTCCATAACTTTTTCAATAATCCTGCAAACAGACACACAAATAATACCAAGCAACAACCAAAAAAATCAATTATAGCAGAGCCGCAGAAGAACCCAACACAACCTGTTACAGAAACACATCACAGCAGAATCACAGAGAAACGTGCAACAAATGAATCGCAAGCAAAAAACACAAACCAGAAAAACTGAACTCTAAACATGTCTGTCAATATGAATCTTCAAAATTTGTGAATTGAACTGAGCTAAAGTGTAAGCATATAAAAATATCAGAAGCATGACATTTCTCCCTCCAAAATATTCTTAAACCAAAATGAAGAAGACAATAAAAACTGTACAAATAATAACAGCTGTTTATCATAAACAATTAAAGTGCATATTTACTATAAATCCAGAAATCTGTGTTTGTCTGTCATATGAAAAGGTGACAGACAAGTGTGATGTGGTCAGTGCAGTATGATCCAGTATGATGTGGATCGGCTGCTGTTAAGAAATACAGGCAGTGTGCTCTTGGCCTCTTAAACAAATGTGTATTTTTTGTTTCAGAGAAAGTTTCTTGGAGGTTCGATCCAAATAAAATCCCAAACGAATTCATTTGATTATAGGAAGCACTCCTACTGAAATATATTTCAATATATTGTGCATTAAACCCCATAAAAGAGGTCTTTCCTTGCATAATGTTCATAAATTTTTATATCAGACTGTAAAAACTGATTGGAGCCTTTTAAGATGGTAAGCTCTGTAGAGGGGAAAAAGGCAACCTTAACAACCACATCAGTTTATCACTCCTCCTCTTTTACTGGTTTCATCTGCTTGCCTGGGTTCTCAAAGCTTGTGTCCTTTTTGTCTGGTTGGAGAGCCCCCACCTTTCTCCTCATCGCACCATTCCCTTACTCTTCTTCATCCTGTTCTCCACTGTCTGCCTACAACCTTTGGGGGATAATTTGGCTCTGACCTCAATTCTGTGGCTGGTTGGATTTAGTGCTGCCACAGCCAAAACGATGCGGTGTGACTTCCCACCTTCAAAGACGGCGCACTTTCATGGATAGAAAGCGGACCGAACGCTGTGTTTGGAGGCACTGCATATGTAAGAAGAAGCAGGAGGCCATCAGTGTGTGTGTGTCTGTCTCACATTGTGATGTGGTATCATGTGGAAGTGCACGTGTCTATCAAAGGCCTTGACAGTTGGTGTCATCGTGTTCTGGAAAGCTCTTTGAAAGCCCATTACAGTGCAGTCTGTGTGAAGTATTGGTTTTTACCATCTCCTGAAAGTCGTCCATCATGACAGAAAAAGTAGTCCAGGCTTTGTTACACTCTGAGCACGTTTTAAAGCAGGGACACCACTTTCTTCTCGAAGAGAAACACATGCTTCCAAAAAAGTTCGGATGGTAGATGTTAAGAAAAACAGAATGCAATGACTTACATATTGTTTATTACCTATATTTAATTGGAAGCAGCACATGAGTAGAAATGCTTTTGTTTCTCTTTCAACAACTGTGAATCGACATAGAGACGAATTAGTGGTTCACACACTACAAAACTCCAATGCTTGGATTTTATCCCCATTTTATTATTTTGAATTTGACACCAGCAACCAAAAAGTTGTGTCAGAGCAGATCTTTCTCACTCTGTTACCGCGCTAATGTTAAAATACTTCTAGAAATTGTGAAAGCATAGTCCTTTAGGCTAAAGAGGAAATGGCTCATTCAGCACACAAACGCCAGGGAGGGTGTTACTGGACTCGGTGCGGTAACTCTCATATGTGTGAAGATTTTATGAACACCGAAGTTTTTGGAGCAACATATACTGCAGTCTAGGCAGAATTTTTTAGGAAATGCCAAACCTAGTTTCTAAATGTGTTCCAACAGCAGTGAAAGAGTGCAGGTGCTAAACTGGCCTGGCTGCAGTCCAGACTTCTTACCCATTAAAAGAAGTGTATCATGAAGCAAAACAACGAATGCAAGACGGCTTCATTCCCGTATTACCGTGTGCCCAGCCCAGTTTAAAAAAAAAAAAAAGTGTTTTCCTGCATTGTTGATTTAAAATGAGCCTTTATTTAGTCACAAATCCAGCATTTTCTATGTTGCTGTTGGATTATTTTGAATCAGTTATGCAGTTTAAATGATTTGCATATATAATATTCTGTTTTTATTCAAAATCTGAAAGTCTTTGACCTTTTGCTTGCATTAAATGTAGTTGTTTCATATTAGTTACATTTTGTTTGACCTCTGTTATGTCTGTAAATTTCATTTGATTTGACCATTTATGCTAAAATCCGGTGTTCCAGGCACAAAGGTTGGGAGAGGAAACAGAGTTCAAAATCTTTGGTCTTGACTAAAATCAAATGCAACAGCAGGCGGAGGGATGAACCGCTTCAAAATATGATAAATATTAAGTGGTTGTTGGTGTTTGTGTCTCTGTGTACAAGCAAAGCAGAGAAACAACAAAATGTGTGCGTGTGTATGTGTGTGTGAAAGTAAGTGCATAGTTTGTATATGGCATTTAGTTGTGTATTTATTGTGTATTTGTTCCTGTGTACCTGGTTGTATCAGTAAGCAGCAGGCCTGCCGTGTTGAGTTTCCCTGTTATTTCAGTCCAGTGAGCGTTTGTTTCTGGCTCCCTGGGAGTACTTTGTAGTTTTTGTATCAGTGATGACCTCAGGTGAAGTACAGAGCAGGGCTGCTTTTGAAAACAGGAATGGAGTATATCAGCGCGTTTACTCAAACTCACACCCTGGATTGAATAGTTCCAAATTGAAATAAGAAAATATACTGTAAGCTGAAAAAAGATGTGTACCTTCTGGATTTTGTTCTAGTTGAAGTTAAATATATCATAAAATGAATCATATATTGAACAGAGATTGGTGTGACTGTACAATCATGTGCTTGCTTAGCTGTAGCACAGTTTTCTACATGAAGTTGTCATAAGGCACATGACTTACTATAAAAAGTCATGTGCCTTATGTCTAACCCCCTCATAGGTACATGTGTAGCAATAATCAGCATTTAAACCTTATTTATTTATGGTTAATGGAAAAAAAGAACAAATTAATAGATAAGAGCTTAATATGTGTACATATAAAATGTATCAGTATCCAACTAGCTAGCAGAAACATTGGGCTTAATCTCCTAATATGGTGTGAGGTGAAGTAGCTGTCTGTCCTGTGGTCAGAGCATCTGGCTTATAGGAAGCTGTAAATATTATGTAAATGTTTTGCAGTGTCATTTCTTGGGGATAACATATAATAATTTACCCCTCTGAGTCATGTGTCATTATTGGTGATTACCCTAACTCAATGCTATCAGAATATGCAGTTTTACTTTATTAAAAAACAGTTGTTTTCCCAGAACAATTGGCTATGGAGGGATTAAATGTCATAAGCCACATGCATGGTAGAAAAAGACCTGAACTTCATTCCTACAGTGAGGAGATCCTTGGGCCTTTATGCTGATGGGGGCATTTTGGCCTTTATAGTTCACGTTTAGAACTTTAATACTCTAATGAAACATTTCTATTCTGATGGGAATGATATTTTCTAGCATAACAGTGCTCCTATCCATAGGGCACTGAATAGACCACCTTGCATTTAGCAGACAGATGCTTTGCCCTCCAGACAAGTCCCAGAGGCCTGAAAAATCAATGTCAAGGTGTATTAAAGCTGTTTTGGATGCGCGTGGAGGCACCTTACCCTAAGACAGCGTATTGTAGTTTGTCCTTTAATTTGTCTCCTGTCTGTTTACAATGCCAGGACTTGATTGAAACGCGCATTCACAAACGCTGCCAGTCCATCTGTTTTTCCTATTGTCTGTTGTGCTTTTAGTCTCATTCAAGGGTTCCATCATCACAGACACACTTTGCAAATCCAAAGCGGACTTTGATACATACACACACAGAGCCTCACACGATTATATCCAGCTAATGATGGAGAAATGTTAATGTTAGGAATAGGGTACTTGGTGTGTTGCAAGGGAGAGAGAAGGAGAAAGACCTTCAAAAGCGCTTTATCTGCACCGCGAATATGCGCTCTGCTGTGGTTCGCTGTGTTAGGGATGAAACACAGCAGCTGTCAGTGAATATCAGGTAACAGAGGAAATGGGTGAATACACACCCCTTACTAACTGTATTACATGGCTCCTACTCTCTGTTTCATGCCTGTTAACAGGAGCGCACATAAATGCACACACGTGACTGACAGTTCAGAGAGACACGTTTCTGAAGTTGTCAAAGAACATCAGCTATGCTATGGATTTATGTTTGCTGGGAAACTTATGGAGGAGTTTTTGATACATACTTCTATCATGTAACCGCTAACCCTGCATGTGCAAGTATGTGCCTGGCTTTTTGGGCAGTTAAACTAGCACCCTGATTGGACCACTTATGTAACTTTCATCTGCCTCACATAAATCATGTGGGTTTTGTTTTTTTTTTGTCTCATTTAAATGTGATCACTGGCTTTTTCCTGTCCAATGTCAGGCTGCAGGTGGGTCATTACTCTCTGGCATAATCACTTTAAAGATTCACTGTACAGTGAATAACAGAAGGTTACTTGATGAATGCCTCTTACTTCACTAAATTAATTACTCTAAAGCTTTTACATGTAAGTCCTACCTTTGCGTCTTTGTTCTAACAAGGTCCCAAGGAAACGTAGGATTGATGAGGCCAGGAATAAACAAAATAAAGACTGTAATTACATCCTGGAGTCTTGTTACATTTAAGTTGCATAACTCTGACTCAAAGTCTGTCAAAGTAGGCAAAGCTAATGCAGTAGGTCTTTTGGTGTCTTCAAAAGATCGTTGATTATGGCAAACAT